ATCTCAAAAAAAAAAAAAAAAAAAAAAAATACAGGCTGGGAAGCCCGACCTGGGGAGAGATGCTCCAACATTCCAACTGCATCTCCAGTCTCAGGGTCGTCACTCACTGCCCCTGGCTGGCTCAGCCACCCAATCACCAATCAGTGCAGCTGCTGTTGGCAACCCTCACCCCTCCTCAACTCCTGTGATCCTTCTCCAGCTCACCTTCTCCCTGAATCTCCAGCCATCCCCACCCAACTTCCTCACCTTTGTCTTTAACCAGCTCTGGACTTCCTCATTCTAAAGCAAAGCTGCCTTCTCTCTCCTCAGCTCCCCTCTGTCTCCAGCAATATTTTCCCTGCCCTTCTCTCCCTGTACGCTGTCACACTGACTTGTGTCCCCAACTCTCAACTGTGCATTTCCTAAAGACTCCCAAAGGTCCAAATCCAAGACCTTCCGGCATCCTTCTGACTCGTCAAGCCTCGCTCCACTAACAAGACTGACCTCTCAGCTTCCTAGACACCACCACCATTGTGGCTTCCCTCCCACCTCTCCACCCACCCTTAAAGCAGAAGAACTCTTCCCTTCTAGTCCAGACCCTTTCACTCAGTGCCCCGACTGCTTCCCAACTGGTGCCACCCAAACCCGCACCTCCAGCGAGGGCGTCCGCATGGCTGTGGGCCCATGGAGTGTGTTCTCCAGTGGGACCGCCATGTGGATATCCCAGGGGGACCTCAAGTCTACCCATCCATGCACTAGCCTCACATTCACCCCATCTCGAGGAGGCGCATGACCAGACGCGTCAGGCAGGCATCGTGACGCTTTTTTTTTTGAAACAGGGTCTCATTCTGTTGCCCAGGCAGGAATGTAGTGGTGTGATCTTGGCTCACTGCAGCCTCCACCTCCCAGGTTCTCTGATCCTCCTGCCTCAGTCTCCTGAGTAGCTGGGACCACAGGTGGTGCCACCACACCTGGCTAATAGGCAGGCATTTTGGATTCTCATTGGCAGCTCCTTTCCTGCCATAACCTGTCCCATCAGTTCTTTCCCTCCCTACCAGACACTGCCTTTTCTCCAGGTCTATCATTCCAACTTCCTCATCCCTGGAATCCCTGCCTTCACTGTGGCCCCCTGGTCTGAGCTAAGAGTACAAGCTGGTGGAAAGAATGGGTGACTGAGGCTGTGTTTACAATGCCCTTTTTTTTTTTGAGATAGGGTCTTGCTCTGTCATCCAGGCCGGAGTGCAGTGACATGATAACAGCTCACAGCAGCCTCCACTTCCTGGGCTGGGACTATCCTCCCACCTCAGCCTCCTGAGTATATGGGATTACAGGAACACACCACTATGCCAGGCTGATTTTTAAACTTCTTGTAGAGATGGGGTCTTGCTATGTTGCCCAGGCTGGTCTTAAATTCCTGGCCTCAGGCGATCCTCCTACCTCGGCCTCCCAAAATGCTGGGATTACAGGTGTAAGGCACCCCACCCCACCCACGGCACTTTCTGTCACTGACTCTATCATCAATAGTCCCTAACAGAGAAGGAAGGGCAAAGATGATAGGTATTAAAAGGGGCTAAGTCCCCCGCAATGCCTCCCTGCCTGGCTCCACTATAGCTTCTTTCCCATCCCTCACCCATTCACCATTCAGGGATCGAAGTGGTCTTTCTCATACACAAATCTCACAGGTCTGGTCCTGCTTTAAATACTTTGATGGATTCCACAGTTCCCAGGTCAATCAAGATGCATGACCCTGAACTGCCTGACCCCCACTAACACCTCCACACCCCAGGGGTCCCTACAAAGCACGCACAATGCCACAGCTCTCAACAAGCTGCCCCGTCTGCCTGAAGAGCTCTTCATCCCCTTCTTCACCTGGACAGAACCTGCCTTTCATTCGGCCAGATTTTGTTTTGTTTTAATTTTTACTTTTTTAAATAAACTTCTTTTAGAGATGGGGTCTTGCTATGTTGCCCAGGCTGGTCTGGAATGCCTGGCCTCAAGCGATCCCCCTGCCTCAGCCCCCCAAACTACTGGGATTACAAGTATGAGCCACCATACCCGGCCCGCATTTGCTTTAGGTCAAATTGGCTCAGGTCATAGATGAGGAAAGATTCAACATCAACACCTTTTATTTTCCTAAGACAAATAGACTCTTTGAACTGGAATGACTTAACATGGAGCAGCACAACAATCGTTACAAGGTCTCATTTTGAAAACTGATGCTTTAAAGCAATGAGTCCTCTTATTTTGCACCCCTGATTCTCTCACCCAGCACCAGAGAAACTGCATCTAAAAAAAAACACGGCCAGGTGCAGTTGCTCATGCCTGTAATCCAGCACTTTGGGAGGCTGAGGCAGGTGGATCACTTAAGGTCAGGAGTTTGAGACTATCCTGGCCAACATGGTGAAACCCCATTTCTACTAAAAATACAAAAATTAGCCAGGCGTGGTGGCACACACCTGTAATCCTAGCTACTCGGGAGGCTTGCTTGAACCCAGGAGGCAGAGATTGCAGTGAGCCAAGATCACGCCACTGCACTCCAGCCTGGGTGACAGAGTGAGTGAGACTCCATCTCAAATAATAATAATAATAATACACTGGGTGCGGTGGCTCACGTCTGTAATCCCAGCACTTTGGGAGGCTTAGTTGGGCGGATCATCTGAGGTTAGGAGTTCAAGACCAGCCTGACCAACATGGAGAAACCCAATCTCTACTAAAAGTACAAAAATATAGCCAGGCATGGTGGTGCATGCCTGTAATCCCAGCTACTCAGGAGGCTGAGGCGGGAGAATCACTTGAACCAGGGAGGCTGAGGTTGCAGTGATCCAAGATTGAGCCATTGTACTCCAGCCTGGGCAACAAGAGAGAAAATCCGTCCCTCCCCCACCCCCGCAAAAAAATTAGCTGGGCTGGGTGGTGGGTGCCTGTAATCCCAACTACGGGAGGCTGAGGCAGGAGAATCACTTGAACCCAGGAGGCAGAGGCTGCAGTGGGCCGAGATAGCACCATTGTACTCCAGCCTCGGCAACAAGAGCAAAACTCTGTCTCAAAAAATAATAACAAATTAAAAAGTGAAAAACACCCAACTGTGCACCTTTCCTAGCTCCCTTGGCCATCCACTGTCTTTCCCAGGGCGGTGCCAAGAAGCCCTCCCAGGCTGGCAGACGTGGAGAACTCCCACAGGAAAACGTGTTCTGGAAGGCTTGGGCCCACCCCTCACAGGTGTACTCCTCTCGCTGCCATTTTCCCCCAGGTGCTGGTGGAGTTCCAGAGCTACACCTGTTCAGAGACCAATCTGGCGAGGAAAGGTCCCAGAAAGAGGCAGCAACTTGTGGGAGGCCACACAGCAATTTTGTGGGAGTGGCAGTCAAGCCCCGGGGCCTGAGGACAGAAGTAGGAATTCCCAGGCCAGGCCCCCTCCTGCAATTCCATAGCCTGTGATCCTCTGTCCCAAACGCCGCACATAATTAGAAGCTATAATCCTGTAATTCCATGATGACATCTTTGAACTTAAATATACCTCAAAACTACTTTTTTTTTTTTTTTTTTTAACGCTAAAAGCAACTTCACAAAAAACTTTTCCCACTCTGTCCCACACTATCCTGCCCAGGGTCCCTCACCAGTGAGCAAAGCCCCAAGTCTCTGTGTCATCTGTGAGAAGGAGCAAGACGCCAAGACCATTTAGGAACTGGATCCTTAGGCTTTGAACAATCAAGAATTGATTCGTTTGTGGGAAATAGTTTCACTTCCCTATTTATAATTACGCATTGTCGTATCTAAAAATCAACAACAATCTCTACACCCACTCAGTGATCCCTGGCCAAAGGCCAAAAGCTATTTTTAGACTCCCTCGGGACCTAGAGGGAGGAAGGTGTGGAAGGTATAACCCTGACTCCAGGCTCCAAACCATCTTTGTAGCCCAGGTCCTGCCGCCTGCGGGTATCCCACGGCCTCTGCTCCGCGGGCTGGGGTCGCTTTTGAGGCACTGAGTTCCCTGACTGTGATCTTCTGGGCAGAAGGCGGCAATGTGAGCCCCAGAGCTCCCGGGACGTGCCAAGAGCCCGCGAGGCCCGCCCGCGCCCGCAGCCGGCCCCCGCCAAGTCTCCCGGACAACAAGATAAATCCGCTTTCGCACAGTGAGACGCGCAGGATCGCCGGCCTCACCTGCAGCGCTCACGCCCTCCTAGGCGACCCGGAGCCGAGGAGGGGGCAACGGCGGAGGCCCCCTCCCACCAGCAGCTCTCCCAAGCCCCATGAAAAGTCCCACAGGCGGACGTGGAAGCATTCTGGAGGCAAAAAGAGACAGCTGGCCGGGCGCAGTGGCTCGCGCCTGTAATCCTAGCACTTTGGGAAACAGGAGTGGGAGGATCCCTTGAGCCCAAGAGTTCGAGACCAGTCTGGGCAACAGAGCGAGACCCCAATTCTACAAAATATTAGCCTGGTGAGGTGGCTCGCCTGCAGTCCCAGTTACTCAGAGGCTGGAGCTGGAGGATCTCTGGAGCCCAGGAGGTCGAGGCTGCAATGAGCTATAATCGCGCCACTGCACTCCGGCCTGGGTGACAGAGCGAGACCTCGTCTCCTCAAATAGGAGGCCGCCAACCCTCCTGGGATGGTCTTTCTATCTCCACCTGCGCTCCTACCAAGCGCTCCTGCAAAGCGCCCAGAAGCCAAGAGCGCCAACGCAGCCAGGAACCGGTCCTTTCCCCAGGCACTAGGGATCGCAAGCGCGGGGTGTGTGTCGGGGGGGACCCGAGCACCCCTCCTGGTCCTACGCCCGCACCTGCACGGGGCGGCCACATGCGCCTCCCGTACTCCCCGCCCAGCCCCGGATGCCACCTGCCGTGGACGCCGGGAACACCGCCGCCCTCCTTCCTCCCCGCCAGCCTCCGTCCGGCCAGCGCCGGCCCAGTGCGCCCCCTCCCCCTCCTGGCCTGGTGGACCCCGACCGCGCGCTCCCGCAGCCTCTGCACCGCCTGGAAGGCGGTCTGGAGCCCGCAGGTCGCCGCCCGCCCAAGGCCGCCCACCTTCCGAAAGTAGCCATCGTTCTCCTTCTCCAGCGGCTGGGGGGTCGCGGGCAGCAGCGCGTCGGTCATGCTGGCGGCGCGGACGCGGAGGGCGGACTGAGCCGCGGCGGTCAAGGCTGGCTGGA